CATTGGTGCTGAAATCTACCAGATGGCAGTTGTTAGAAGTCAGAGTGGACTAATGCTCCTGGTGAGCCTATGACAGCACCTCTGGACCTTGTCCTATCCTGCATCATCCTGATCTCCTAGACCACGTGAGAGCCCCTTGTTACAGTCAGTGTCAGTCCACCTGCTTGAGGGTCTTCCTCCTCTCTGACTGGACGTTCACAAGGTTGATGTCCTTTTTCCAAGGACTTGCTCGTAACATCTGTTACCAAAATATATGAGATGGAGTTTCCCCATCCTTGCCCTTAAGAAGCACTCTGGTTGCACGTCCAAGGCTAATTTGCTTGTTCTTTTTGCACTTTATAGGATATTTGGTGCTCTTCTCCAACAATGGCAATGAGCTTGTTTTTTTTTTCTTTTCTTTGGGGGTAGGTGTGGAAGTGAGGTGGGGTATTACTTTATAGGGAACCATGGACTTCATATGGCAGAGGGAATAAGAACTTCAGACCGGAGTGTGAGCCCATAGGATGTTAGGTGCGTGTCATCTTTTTCTATGAGTATGAAGGTACATTTTTCTTACTAATTTCCTTGTAATAATAGCCAAACAAGCAGTTTCTTAGGTACCAGAATCAGAAACATAGAAGGGGGCCTGAACAGATAGTTCTCCCCAAGTCTGAGGGGGAGTACGGCACTGGGGCAAGATCTGCTCCAGCCCCCAAGGCTCCCCAAATATCAGGTTTACTCTGGTCTGTGCACACCACCACCCATCCACATGCTGCCCTGATAGAGCTGGCTCTCACTCAGGGCCAGCACTTACAAGCAGTGTCCACAGGGCAGTGAGAGCTGCAAATCAGAGATATAGAATTGTTTTGCTGTCTTTATTAAGGATTCACGTTGAAGAGATTGGGAGGCCATATATAACAGCAGTTAACAGCACATACTTTGGGTCGCACAGACTTAGGTTTAAAATCTGTCCATGTGCCTTGGGCTGACTGCTTAACCATTTGAAATTTCATCTATAAAAAAGGATGCCAACATATTCATAGTTTGTCACAAGAGGAAATGAAAGCACTTAGTACAGTGCTGGGAACAAGGTAAGGCTCAATACATTGTGATTAGTAGTATTCTCAGTACATTCAAGCCTAGGGATGACTGCGGATACAAAGTGTTCCCTGATGCACACCCATGTTTATTGCAGCTTTGTTCACAATAGCAAGGAGTTGGAAACAACCTAAGTGCCCATCAACAAATGAATGGATAGAGAAGCGGTGGTATAGTCACACAATGGAATACTACGCTGCATTGAAAAACAAGGAACTCATGCAATATTATTCAAAATGGGTGACCCTGGAGGACATTATGCTGATTGAAGTATCTCAGTCACAAAAGGACAAATACTGCATGGTGCCACTGTTGTAAATCAGGACTGACCTCGGGGTTGGGGGGAGACTGAGAAAGATGGGTTCAATAATTTATACTGTACTGAAACAGATGAGAGAGAAAACTGTTTAAAAGGGATATGTGATGTTATTGTCATTACAGGAGTCCAGAACGAAGGCTGCATAGTGGATTGGACCTGGGGGTAGGGATTGTAAAACAATGAAAGAATTTTTCTTTTACTTTTCAAAGAGAAGAGTGTACTGGGGAGGGAAGGCTGGGCAGGGAGAAAAGTGCAACAATGAATGAATGGAAATCCAAAGTCTCTGTCAATTTTCACTGAAATTAATGATAAAAAATTTTTTTAAAAAAGATTTGCATAGCAATGGACCATAGTGGAATTTGTTTTATGATCTTAATAATAATAATCAGAAAAAATAGAAAGAGAAATAACATCAACATTTGTGGCAAAATTATAGGCATCAAGCATTTTCCTAATTTATTTAAATAGAAAAATTAATTAAAAATAAAGTATAATGTAAAAAAAGAAAAAATGAAAGTGTTTCCTGGGCCCTACCACACGACTGGGCTGCATTCCCTCTCACCTTCTTCCTCCTCCTTCCTTCCTTCCTTCTTCTCCCCTCCTCCTCCTTCCCCTCCATTCTTCTCCCCTCCTCCTCCTTCACCCTCTGCCCTTCTCCCCCTCCTCATTCTTCCCCTTCTTCTTCCCCCCATCCTTCTCCCCCTCCACCTTCCCTCCATCCTTCCTTTCAGCCTGGAGCTACCCCCTTTGTGGATAAAAAATAAAAAAATATTAGGTTCTATGTTTTAATTAAAAAATACTCATTTCATGGACTCCAGTTGGAAGTGATAAATGCAGATGATTTTTTCCACCTTTATGATAAAAGTAGAGCTATGATTAGGAAGCAGTTAAGAGGCTACAGAAGGCAAAATGCTTTCCAGAAAGCAGGAAGAGAGGCCTTGGCCTGACTTATCGTTGCCCTGACAACAGCAGGGCCTGGAGGGCCTCTGTTCCTGATCCCTTAATCTGAGTTGCTGCCATCCCCATGCCTCAGGAATGGTCTCCTACAGACACCTGGGTAGTTAAAGCAACACTGACTGAAGAGAGGGACATAGAGGGATGGGGATGAGGCTCCTTCTCCCTGCCAACCTCCTAAGGCTCAGTTTAGATTCAGTCCCAAGCCGCAGTCTTCAGCTGACCCTAAGGTCTGTCCATGCCAGTGGATGGCCTTCTGGGCTTACCTACCAATCTCAGCACTGGCTGTGGACACCAGTGGTGCTTACCAATGCTAGGGGCTGTACCAAGCACCCCTACGGCAGCAGGCCTCATCACAGCACACTCTGTGCTGTCAGTGCAGTGTGGCCAAGCTAGCAGGTAGCTCCCTGGGGCCACAGTCTTTCCAGCTGCAGACTGGACTCTCAGGCCTTTTCTGGCTCCCAGATCCTTTTTATTCTATTTTTATATTTGTCATTTTGGCAAATATAAACCTCAGAGCATATTCCTGTTAAGAAGAAAAAAAAATAATTGGGCAACATGGAATAATTTGAAACAGGGGCTGGGGTATTGACTTTCAGTAACCAGGGACCAGGGAGGTGGTCCTGGGCTTTGGAGTCAAAAGGGTTTGTGTCCCAGTGCTGACTACCATTGGATTGCTGTGTGACTCTGAGCTTCTGTCACTTGAGAGTTAAGAGGCAATGAAAGTTAAGTCCCTGCACATAAGATGCAGTCCATGAATGGAGACTCTTCCTTCTGACACACCATTCCAAAGAATCAGAGGCAATTTAGGAGTCTGAAAGTCTGGTTTCGCAAGCCAAGGAAAGGGCACAAGGAGTAGCAGAAAGCCAGAAAGCCTCGGGAGTGAGGACAGCCCACCATCATACTGGCTGAGAGGAACTGAAACTTGTCAACTCAGTTGCCTGTGTGGTTTGATCATACAAAAATTAATTTTCTGATTCTACCTGTTAAGAAAACTTACTTCTCAAAGGTTCATTCTTTAAGTACAACTTTACCACACGAGGACTTCACCTGTTTTCACTCACTTTAAGTTTCACTAGACATAAGCTAGTAATGAAATTAACAAACTTTAGATATGTGCCAAATTCTTTACCTCATACTTGTTATTTAATGGACAAGAATAATGGGCTCTTACTGTATCCAGTAAACAAATGAAAAGTAGATCTTCAGAAAAGCTAATTATTCAAAGTCACAAAAAGTAATACGTTTAAATTCCTATCTGATTCTAGAGTTTTTTTCTATTTCAGAGACTACCCTCTGGTGGGTTTTGGGCTGTGGCCACTACAGAAATGACAGCAGAAGGGACGGAAGGTTATGCTGATGTGGTGGCAGACAGAGGGGCAGGGGGTGCACTGGGCATTGGCATCCAGGAGGACAGAGGCAGACTGGTGGGAGGTCAGGAGTAAGAAAGGGCGAGAGCAGTAGCGAGTCCCTTAGAGCAGGTAACTCCACTTCAAAGGTTTCAGCTGTTTAGAAACTAGATTTCTTGGGGTCAGGAAGATTCCCAGTATTGGTTCCAGCGTTGCTGAGGGGTCCTGAGCACAATAAAACAGGGAAAACCACATCTCGAAGAGGGTGTGGCTGAACATCTGCACAGTCCTCAGGCCCCAAATTCCAGGATTTGTGACGATTTGGTGCACACTCCGCTAAGGTCACTGGAAACCGTTTTTGTCATCCCCCACGTCCAATACCTGGACCTTCACCGCATCCCCACGCACTCGTGACTGTATCCCGTCTCCTCCATCTGATTAACTCTCTGATTTTACATCAAGTCGCTCTTGCTCAATCATCTTCAATCGGTTCTCACACGTCAAACCCAAGCTCCAGTCATCCAGCATTACCTTCCAGACTCCTCAGCACCCCGCTCCATCCCACGCCGCCTTTGGCACCCTGGTTTCCCCACATGAGCCCTGCTCTAGGCGGCTCCTGGTCACATCTGACCCCGTGGGCCACACTCCAGGAAAAGCTGGCCTCAGTTCTCGTGCACACAGGCCCTGACTACACATCCCAGGTCCCCATGCCTGCGGCCAGCCCCCCTGCTGGCCCCTCGTCTGTAAGGCCTTGAGGGGACTGCCCCAGGTGTCCCAGCGTGGTCTGGTTTAGAGCCTCGCATCCACGCTGTCTTCGCCAGTGAGGCGAGGGGCGCACGGTCCCTACGAAGTAAACCACCTCCCTGCCAGTCCCTGCCACCCTGCGTTCCACCCACACTGCCTCCTTGGTCTCAGACCAGCCGGATGCCTGGACATTTCGCGGGGCCTCAGGAAGGCGACCCTGCCAACTGCCCTACCATGCTCCCGGGGCCACTAGCGTACCCACATCGGAAACGGTTCCAGGGCAATGTCACCTCTGCGCAGCGTCCCCTGCTCCCTGGCCGCAGATGGACCAACAGCTAGCGAGTCTGGCACGGTCACAGAGCCGACAGCCAGAGACATAGGCAGCTGTCCCAAGAGTGTCCACCGAGCACGCCGGTGGGGCTCCCCAAAGCCGTCCGGCTGTGCCCCGCCCGCCCCCGCTGCACGCGCCCCTCCCAGCACACAAGAACGGCAACCGGAAACGCTGGTCTTTTGAAAAGGACTCTATTATTATCAAAGAGCAGCACAGTCCCCAGGGCCGCGCCTCACTCGCCCGCGTGGGTCCGCAGGTGGTACTTGAGCGACTGCTTGTAGCGGAAGCACTTGGCGCAGTGCGCGCACGGGTAGGGCCGCTCGCCGGTGTGCGCGCGCTGGTGCTCGAGCAGGTGGTGCTTCTGCGTGAAGCGCTTGCCGCACTCGGCGCAGTGGTAGGGCCGCTCGCCCGTGTGGATGCGCCGGTGCTCGAGCAGGTGGTGCTTGCGGATGAAGCTCTTGCCGCACTCGGGACAGGCGTGCGGGCGCTCGCGCGAGTGCACGCGGCAGTGGTTGGTCAGCTTGGACTTCTCGCTGAAGCTCTTCTCGCACTCGGGGCACTTGAAGGGCCGCTCGCCCGTGTGCGTCCGCTGGTGGCGCAGCAGGTGCGACGGGCGGCTGAAGCTCTTGCCGCACAGGCTGCAGATGAAGGAGACCTCGTGCTTGCCGGCGTGCACGCGCTGGTGGATGACCAGGCTGATGTGCAGGCGGAAGCTCTTCTTGCACTCCGGGCAGGTGTAGGGCCGCTCGCCGGTGTGCGTGATCTGGTGCTTGGTCAGGCTGGACTTGTGGCTGAAGCTGCTGTCGCACTCGGGGCACTGGTAGGGCTTGGAGCCGCCCCCGCCGGGGCCAGGCGACTTGGGGCGCGCCTTGAGCGCGTGTTTGGGGTGCAGGCCGGGCGTGCGCTCTGGCGAGGGCGGCGTGCGCGGCCCGCGGTGCGCGCGCTGGTGCAGGGTCAGCTGCTGCTTGTGGCGGAAGGTGGCCTCACACTCGGCGCAGGCGTAGGGGCCCTCCTTGACGTGGTTGCGCTGGTGGATGACCAGGTTGATCTTGAGCCGGAAGCTCTTACCGCACTCCAAGCAGGTAAAGGGCCGCCCGCCGCGCCGGTTGCGCTGCTGCTGGTGCTGGCTGCCCGGGCGGCCGTCCAGGTGCCGCCCCTCCAGGTGCCGCTCGCTGTGGGCCGCGGGCGCCAGCCTCCGCATGCTCATGGTGGGCTTCCCCAGCTGCAGGGGAGGGGGGCTCTCTGCGCCCTCAGGGGACAGCTCTCCGGGCAGCGGGGCCTGGTACATGCTGGCTTCAAAACGCCCGGACAGGTGCCCCAAAGACTGAAGGTGCGGAGGGAGCTCTTCCTCCTCCTCCTCCTCCTCCTCCTCTTCCTCCTCCTCATCGTCCTGCTCCTCTGTTTTGATCACAATCCCCTCTGATCCAGAACCCAGGATGAAGAGAGACAGATGGAGAGAGGAGGTTAGTGCTGCTCGCCGCTGCCCCTGACCCCACTGCCTCCATCCTCACCGCCCAACACAGCGGACACAAGGATGGCCAGCACCTTCATTCCCGCCCTGAGGCCCTGGCCCCATCACCCTGGCCTAGGGGCGCACTGGTTCTGGAAGGTATGAGACCCCTGCTAAGTCCTGCCAGCTCTCTTGGCATTTCGGCCAGGCCAGTGGAAGGAGGCAGCTGCTTGTTGGGAAGCTGGTGGCACCAACAAGAAAGCAAGAAGAAAGGGAAGAACGTGAGTCTTCATGGGAGGCACCCAGATCCAGTCATGCCTGAAGGTGGACTCCTCATAGACTCGCAAGTTACTCCAATGGACAATACCCTGGTTTTTTTTAAGCTGCGGAAGGACTGAGTATGTGGTACCTGTAGGAAGAGAGTCTTGACTCTTAAGTCTCCTCTGAACTCCGCTCAGCCAGATTACTCCCTGCCCCTCGCTCGTAAAGGCACTTATCCTCCTCCGGGAACGTCCCTCTTCTCATGCCTTCCTCTCGCACCTTTTCTGACTGTCTTGGCCTGCAGCGCGGTTGGTTCACCTCCAACTGCAGAAGCAGCTGGTTTGCACAGCCCCCTTGCACAGTCCTAAGTCCTCCTTGCTGTTCCCTCCTTCCCACCCCGGAAAGTGCCCCCTGAACTCCTGTCCGATGGTTCTCCTTCTTACCAGCCCCTACCCATTAGGCTGGCCTTTGAGAATGCACAAACGCCATGGTCCATAAGAAGGTAAGTTCTAGAGAAAAGGACTGCCTCATTTTCTGTTTGGAGCTTTCTCCAGGGCTTCATACTGACTGGCACCCTGTAATCACTCAGCTGGGGAACTCACTTCTCTGGGTGCATCTGTGGGGTGAGAGGGAATGACAGGCTGCATCTGCATAATTCTTCAAAGGCAAACAACCTTTTCAAAGTATTTCCCCACCTGTTTTCTCTTTACATATTCACAGTACCTTATTATAGGATAAGTCAAGCAAGAGTTCTCCATTTTGTATAAGGGGAATCCAAGACTCAGGGAGAGGAATTATATTTACAAATAAAGTAAATAAAACGGACTTTTTCAGACCTTGGTACTTAGAACCATCTAGTCTCTCCTCTTCCACGTCCCTGTGAACCCCATCACGTCGAGTCCAAGCTCTTGTCACAAGACACTGCTGTCTCCATACCTAGGAGCCTCAGCAGAAGTGACTTGGAACGTGATGCTTGAAAGAATAGGAAGGGAAATGACCAAGGGTTTCTGCTTGTCCAGAACAAATTAGAAAGAAGGAAATCACAGAACCAGAAAATGCCTCTACATGACTAACAGCCCACAAAGGAGGGCACTGTCAACCAAAAGGCAGGCGGTTCTAATCTACCTCCTCCTCCTCCTCAGGAGAAAGATGGGTAATACTCTCCTGTGCGATTTACAGCCTGTGAAAACCTGCTGGAGGGTCAGCTATGAGTTGGTTCTAACCTGACAGCACATAACAACAAAACAGTCCATATAACCCTCGTCTTCCTAGGTCCTGAGACCAGGAGTAGACCGTGTTCTGCTACCATTACCAGGTATTCTGACCTGGGTCACAGTAGTTGGATCTGGTGGCCCGGTGGTAAGAAAATGTTCTACCAACCTAGAGGCATGTGATTTTAATCCACCAGCTGCTCTGTGGGGAAACATGCGCAATCTTCTGCAATTCACAGGCTCTGAAAACCTGCTGGAGGGTCAACGATGAGTCAGTTAAGATTGGAAGCAATGACTACAAATGAAGCTTTTTGAACATCAAACTGGTGTTTTTGTTTTTTAAATTCAGGACTCAATACTTCACAAATTACTGTTTAGTTCTAGTAGAAACAGGACGGTCCTGTTTACGATTACTAGAAAGACTACTTACCTGGTAATCGGAAATTTCTATTATATGCTGCTGTTGTCAGAACTGACCCATAACTGATCCTCTAAAGGGTTTTCAGAGGCAGTAAATCACACAGAAATCTTTTCCTGTGGAGCAGCTGGTGGATTCAAACCCACATACCTTTGTGTTGGTAGCACAACTGCTTACTACTAAGCCACGAGAACTCTATAATTTTTCTAATTTAAATCTACTCATAGTTTGCCGTATTTTATTACAATGTCATGACAAGCAATTATTTTAAATTTTAAAAAGACTTCTGAAATCCTAGGCAATTATTATTTTTTTTCAAAAGGTGGTACATTCAGACAATGGCATACTATGCAGCACTCAGGAGCAACGATTTAGAAAAATAGTAAATAACTTGGGAGAGGCTGGAAAGCATTATGATGCGTGAACTAACTCAGTCTCATAAGGACAAACACTGCATAAGAACATTATTGTAAAAATAAAAGGATAGCTAGTAAAACATGTTTGGGGACCCAAGGGGGGAAAGAGTGGGAGCAGAGGGGTGAGGCTGGGTAGAGGCAAAACCACCCGGCTGCAGAGTTTGGTGAGTGGAGGAGGGGCAAGGAAATGGGAAGGTTCAGGGCAATGATGAGCAGGTCCAATGGTGATTAATGAGAATTAATGAGATTAATGGTGATTAATGATAAACATGAGAATGGCCGTATGAAACACAATGTGAATGAAGAATAGTGTGAAACACAATGTATACAAACTTTGTAAACAAACCAATTAAAAAAAAAAGGAGAGGAAAAAAAATCCCTATCTTCTGACCAAGGAAGATGCCCATGGTCCTTTATTAAAGGGGACAGCAAGCTCCACAGGAACGATCTACCGCTGAGGTTAAACATTTAACAAGACAAGAAGGATGTGGGTCCGCGTCTAAGGATAAGTCTCTTAAATGGTATGATAGTGAGTTCTGCTCATAAGCAAAACACCAAAAACTGAGTGAGTTTTACAAAATTTTCAAGGGACACAATTCCTATTTTACACATTTTCCCCCAAATATAGAAAAAAAGCGTAAGTTGAATAGTTTTTTAATGTTTATTATGATCTTGTTTCTCACATTGGTTATTTATTGTGTGCTATTCAGGGAGAACTGACTCACTGCTGACCCCAGCAATTTTCAGAGACTGAATCCCATGGGGGCAGATTGCTCGTTTTCCTCCTGTGGAGCAGCTGGTGGATTCGAACTATGTGCTTCTGGGGTTGGCAGCACAGGTTTTTACCCAGTAGACCACCAGAGCTCCTCATCTACCACTTGCGGTAAACGACTCATCACTGGCCCTCCAGCAATGGAGGAGTCTGCCTATCTTTTTTCTATAAAGTAGCTGGTGGATCTGAACTATGTTCCTCTGGGTTGGTAGTGTAACTCCTTACCTCTAAGCCATCTGAGCTCCCTCATCTAACAAGAGATGAGGATAATTCAGAGAAAAGAAAATTCATTTCCCTTAAGAATGTCGTATTTAAATTCCTGCATTAAATACTAGTTAACTAAATCCCACTGTATATTTTAAAAATGCACCATGATTGTCAGGTTGAGCTTTACTCATGATCATAAGGGATAGTTCAGTATCTGAGAATCTGTCACGAAGGACCCACCCTCTGCTGCTTTTCCTTGGACTCACAGCACGTAAAGAATGAGGACGCTCTGGTCTCCCAGCATCACACAGTGCTGTCCAAGCTTCACCACGAAAGGAACTCTGGTGGCCTGGTGCTCAAGCCTGGCTGCTAAGTAAGAAAAAAGCCGAAGCAGTCTTCACCTTAGACTATGGCTTTGAACACCACATGGGGCGGTTCTACTCTGTAAAACTACAGCACAGCTATGAGTTAGTATTCAGCTTGGAAAAGCGTGTTTGTTTTTGCCATGACTAAGTAAAGACAGTACCAATCCAGTGATTTTAAAAGCTTGGTAAAACAATTGGTCTTAATTCACCTGAAGCAACAAAGGAAGAGTCAGGACTAAGAAGATAGGGAATTTGAGACCAAGAGACTTCAAGAACAATTGTCATCTCTTCCAGAAGTCACTGATGGTGACTGGCTGCTGTACTAAATGCTCTGGTCAAAGACTTTATAGAATCCTAATAAAACGGAGAAGGGAATGTCAAGTTCTCAATCCACTTTGTGGTGCCAGTGAAGCTAGATAAACCCCCAAAGCAGCTGCCCTTCAGCTTTTTGACCAGAAATATCCCCTGGAGTTTTCTTTAAATCAAACAAAAATTGGTAAAGTGTCTGCCTTGAATGTTCTCTTTTCAAGAGCTATATGGGATCAGTCTGACAACTGGGAAGTTTAGGAGACAGTAAGTTTATATTAATGAGGGAGGAACAACTCAGAAGAGAAGTGAGGAGAGCTGCACGCCTCGAAGGTACAGTCATGTCAGAGCCTCTAGAAATGGTGGGCAGGTGTGTGTTCATCTACATGTAAAAATCGTTCATTTGGTGTGTATTCATCAAGGTGTAGAAATGTCTGAGTCGGTGTGTGTTCCATCTACATGTAGAAATGGTTGTTTTGTTGTATGTTCATCCAGGTGTAGAAATGGTTGGTTCTTGTATGTTCAGCTGTGCATATTCTCAACAAGTAAGTCATCTTAAGAAAACAAGCCTGCACTTCCAAGACTTCAATTTAGTGGAAGTTTCTAGAGTAACCTAAGACTGCCAAGAACAAGTCAGAAAAGAGCAGCTGCCACTTTACCACTATCTCTGTGACCTTGAAGATGTACTTGGTTTTTCCCTCCTGGTAAACTAGATAGGAGAGATGGCCACCAGCCTCCCCCTCAACTCAGGAAGGTTCTAGAAACCCATCTGGGGTCATACTCACACTCCTCAGCACCTGCCCCCCACCCTCCTGGAGCAGGCCCACCAGGGGCTCAACAGCCCAGCACCTCAGCCTATGGTACTGACCTGTGCAGGTTCTCTGCTGTACCAGCATCTGTTTGAGCTCGCTGAACTCGCCAGGGCCCTCCGCTGACTCCTCCAGTGCATTTTCAGGGTCCTGCATGTCCAGGTCTGCCTGCTCAGCACAGGGGTCACCCAGCTCTGAATCCTGGAAGCCGTGCTCCTCCACCTGGCCCATCAGGGGCTCCGGTGTCTCCAGGCTTTCAGAACCCTCGTCGTTGGTCTGTACTTCGATCTTAATCACGATCCCGTCATGTGCTGAGTAGGCAAGGGTATGGGAGAGGAGGGAAAAAAACTCAGAGCATTATCGATGCCGGCCAAGTGTCTATAGCCTTAGATAGGATCTCAAGGTCCCCACCTGAGACCATGGAGAAACACAGCAATGACTGAAAGTAAGCCAAACTATTTTGGACAAGGGTAGCCTTGAACACACATAAAACATGAGTAGCATTAAAACTAGTGCAGAGTTTATTTTCATGACCCCTGAAATGTTTGAAGTACCCAGCACTGGTGGAATTTACAAAGCTCAAGCTCACCCCCACCCCCACCCCCACCGGGTTTCCAATGCTGTAAAGGGAACGGGAAGGACACTGACCATCTTCCTCCTGAAGGGCCGCTGGTGGATTCGAACCATCAGAGAGGGACAGTCTTTGGGTTTGCAGTGTAACTCCTTCCAGACTTGGTTCCCAGAACTCCTAATGTTTAATAAAAGGGACCTAACTCTCCTTTCCTAGGTGGGATCAGCCAAAGAGACGGTCTCTGCCAAACCCACTCCATCAGTCTGTATGAAGAGTGAGCTCATGGCCTCCTCACCACCACACACTCTGTCCCCTCAGACCCTCACTGACCAGAGGGGCCTTGAGGTCTTTCTCCCCATATTTGTAAGCATGCCACCAGAACAAACCCAAATCCCCATGGATGCCAGGCACAATTCTCGGTAGGTTTTCCTGGTGTCTTTTCTAAAAGCAGACACCAGGCAGGCCTTCTGAGCATTGCTGTTATGTGCCGTCAGCTGCGACTCATAGGGACTCTGTGCACAAATCTCTGAACCCTGCCGTATTCTGAGCCAGTCTCACTGCTGCCCCGTTTACCCCAGTTACTGTGTTAATTCATCTTATCCAGAATCATCTCCTGTGCTGTCCGTCACCCTTCTAAGCATGATGCCCTCCAAGGACTGGTCCCTCCTGGCAGCATGCCCAAAGTATGTGAGATGAAGCCTCAAAATCCTTGCCTCCAAGAAGCAACTTGGCTTCACCCTCTGCAAGACAGACCTGCATGTTATCTTGGTAGTCCAAGGTATGTTCAGTGTTGTTCTCCAACACAACACAAAGGCATCGATTCTTCTTCTATCACCCTTAGTCACTGCCCAGCTTTCTGACGTGTACAAGTGACTGTGAAGACCATGGCCGGGATCAGCCGTTAGGTTAGCTGACAGCTGTACCTCACTGGGGCTTCAGAAAGCAGCTTTTTCACTTTGTACTGTATCACTGTGGTTTATTGTTAAAATGGTTTTTCTAGCCATCAACTCTGGCTTTCAGTACATATGTGGAAGGGAGTGTATAAACTAATTACGGGCCAGCAGGGAGCTCTGGTGGCCTAGAGACAAGAAGCTGCACTGCATTCCTGAAGACATGTGGTTCAAGGCCACCCGCTGCTCCACGGGAGACGGATGGGCAATCTCCCACGCAATGAGCTGCCTCTGAAAACCCACCAGACAGTCACATATAGGTTGGTTCCAACTCAACGGTACACAACAACACAGGCCAGAGACTCCTGCACCAGTCTGGCTAGACGTACACATGAGCAGAAGCAGCCTCAGCGGAAAATGAGAGACCGGCTTGGACTGCTGCCCCTCAGAGCGCTATCTGGAGCCTTGACTCGGACTTGTTAGAGGTCTGAGGGGGAAAGCCGTAACTGGCAGGACTCTAGGGACTTCATGACACTGACCTAAGCTGGGAAGCTGAAGGTCAGAGGCCCTTCAAATATACCTGAGAATCTGTCTGGACTGAGGAACCTGTTAGCGTTCCCCAAAACCCACAAACATGAATATAGTTCTCTGAGGCCTATGTGGTCATTGCAAAATGTTTCAGACCCAGTTGAGCAGTAACTCTGGTGAAGGAATTAGCAGAAGCAAATACAGGAGTATGGGAGACCATGTCTGAGTGATTTGAGATGTGTCACTACACACACAAGCCCAGGCGGAGTTAGAGTGCATATTTCTGGTCCATACTTACCACTCAGAGTGACACGAATGAAGAAGGCTTGCCAATCTGTTTCCTAAACCACAGAAAATCTCAGGAACAAATGACAGAATGCTGTCTTCTCTACTGCTGGAGGCTGGCAGGAAAGGGGACTGAGCCACCTTGATGGCAACAATGATTACATCTGTTTCTATTTTGTGGTCATGAATGTGTGAAGAAGTAAAATCATTATACATACTTTTTCATAGCTTTTCTCACTCTTTTTTTCTTAGTGAAAGTTTACAAACCATAATGGTTATTAATTCAATGATTCACCCACAATTTTTTATGACATCAATGGCAATACCCGTACAGCAACTACATTATTCCCACTTCTGCAACTCCTGTTTCCCTTCATTTTTTTTTTCGGCTCCACAGTCAACACTCTTGGCACGAGCAGTCAGGAAATCAAAAAGGGTATCGCAATGGGAGAGTCTGCCGTTAGGGACCTCTCTAAGGTACTCAGGAGAGATCCAAGATGGCGGCGGAGGCAGAGACAGCGTGGTGAGCTGCGGGAGCAGCGAACCCGTTAAAGCAGGGCCATTATGGCCTCCACAGACTTCGGCTTATTGATAATTGAACACTGAAACAGTTGATGACTGGCCCTCAGTGAAGATCGAGGCTCAACAACAGGAATTCAAGGATTCCCAAGGAGAAATGGGTGAGTCTCGTAGCTCCCCCCCTGCAGAGCCCTCGCCACGCCACACAGCCGCTGCAGCTCCATGAGGCTTCCACAGCCGGAACGAATGGATTCCCTCACCCAGGATGGATGCTGGGCACCAGCCCTCCTCAAGACTGGTACAGCGAAGCCACCACACTGCCGCAAGATGGACTTGGTGTGGAAAGAATTCTTGGAGCCAGGATGGTGGCTGTGGGGGAAGCAGGCGCCCTCCGGCCGCCCACACAAGAGGGGCCGCACACCAGCCGAGCGCCCGTGGGGTGGGGTGGGGGGGCGCACGCCCCGCTGGACACCTGTGTAGGAGGTGGGGGATGGGATGCATGACC